CTACGGCTCACCTACGGCAGGTTGGATTGTGCGTTGAGATTTGCTTTCGACGTGTTTCTGACTCCTTCTCCTTCTCCCCTGCCCTCCTCCCAATTAGGCCTCTTCTCTCCTGTTAATGGCGCGGCATTGTTGGTTTCTTGTTGATGTGTCGGCGGGATGGGCGCGGAAATCTGCAGCGCAGTTCCACGTCTTCGCTTCGGAGCGTCCCACCGTGCGCCTTTTGCATGATTTGTTTTAAGCTGCAGGTTGCATGCTTGTTTTGGAGCCCTGGCGTTGCATCCAGAGTAGACAGATGGCACGTTGATCCTAGGCTGTCCGCGTCCCCTCGTTTCCTCCCCTCCCTCTCGGGATCCCACAATGGGTGTGTGTGTGTGTGTGCCCGTGTGTGTGTGTGTGTTTGTGTGAGAGTTCGGTCGGTTTTTGCACCGAGCCGCCCAAAACAGATGTCCCCCAGCCGCCGGCAGCTCCCGATAGTGGCTGATAGGGTGGGCCATGCGAGGGCATCTGTTTGCGGCCGATCGGTGCTCCAGCGGACCGAACCCATGCCACCCCCCCTCAGGGTCACCCCCCCTTTGGTGGATCCCGACCTTCTCTCCATCAGACATGCGGTGTAAACTGCGGCGGGGGCGTTGGTCAAGGAATGCGCCCAGGAGGCTGCCGACCTTGGAGGATTCCTTATCCAATGAGGGCGGCGGTGATGCCCATGGCCACTCCACGATTGGAGCTCCACGGGCTTCCACACCCTGGATGCCCTCACCGTAACTAGGGGAACAAAAAGTGGCACAAACATAACAACTCGGAGGTCCACGCGGATTCCTCGGATCGGCGCTGGGGCCCCCCGGCGGCGCACTCCGCGCGCCGGGGAGGGGGGTCCAGCGCCGATCCGAAGAATCCGCGCGGACCTCCGAGATTGTATGCTGGTGCCCCTTTTTGTCCCCCGAGTAACTTCAGGAGAGGAAAAAACACACAGACACAATTAATCCTCGATTCCCCAGAAGATATGGGAAAGTGTGGGAAGTGGGCGGGGAGACAGAAACCCCGAACATATGGGAAACATCTGGGGAATCTTTTTATTTGGGTGTATTTATTTG